TAAGTGATATTTTTATATATTATATAGTATAAAAACTAAATAAGCCTTAATGAGCCAATAGCAATTTTTAGCAAGGCCATCAAGCCAGCTCATTGGAGCACTAATTATAAATCATTTGACAGTTTTGAGTAACATGTTAATTTGCTGCCTCTTTTAATTATGCATGTTGATTAAAACTTGCACAAGAATAATTTTTAAATAATAAACTTGATGGTATAGCTTCAGCTATATTATTGTTTTCACTTGGTGTAAAATCTTTGTCATCTATAGCATTATTATAAGCCAATAAAAGCTAATAAATTATAAAATATATATTAATAAATTAAAAGTAATTTTATTAAATATATGAACATATATGAATATATAAAAAAATTTAATTAAATAATTTTGAATTTACATCATCAATTATATCCTGTTTAATCTGTTTACCCTTTTCTTGTCAATTAGAATTATATTCAGAATCATTTTTCTTATCATCACTGATTACAATTATATTATCATTATTACTATAGTTTAAAAGCTCTAAAGCTAAAATTTTATAAAATAATTAGTGTTGTGGAATTAAAAAAAAAATAATAATAATTATTACTTTCATAAATAAAATTGGATAATTAAATATCACCATAAGTAATATCAGATAGTTGAATATTATCATAAATAGAATTAGACGATTGAGTATCATCATAAATAGAATTATACAATTGAGTATCACTATATATAGGATTAGATAATTGAGTATCACTATAAATAGGAGGATTAAACAATTGAATGTCATTATTAGATAGTAGATTCTCTAATGGAATATTTTCTTTGTGCATAATATTTTGCTAATAAAGCATAAAAATTATTGATAAATTTGAACGTGCTTCTTGTCCAAACACCAATTGATATGGTGTAGCTTTTGTTACTTTACATTCTTGAATATTCATTGCCCCTATAATTTATACAATTAAATAATTTTGTTACAAAATCATAAAAAATTTTATATATAATAAAGATATACACATATTACAAAAGATAATCCAATACTCTAATCACTACGTTTAGTCTTTTCCATCCATGATCCTAATTTGAACTGAAGTATATTATTGCCTTTTTCAACAGATCCTTGGCACTGTGGGTGCCTTGGTTTTCTATATATAAATTTAATTGCTGGCCAGAGTTTTACAGTTTCTTTCATAATATTTCCAACAAACTCACCACCATTGTCTGTATGTAAAATGGTTGGTGGGCTATAATTTAAACAAAATCATAAGAAAATACCTGCAGCCTCTTCTGCTGATTTTGATTTTGCAGGCTTTGCATATAAGAATCGTGTAAAATGATCTCTTATATGTATGATAGAATTAAATTCGCCATCTGGCACAGCTGTCATATTAATAGTATTGATCTTAAAAAAAATTTATTATTAAAATTAGAATTTAATTGTATTAAATTTCACATAATAATTTAACAAATTTACCTGAACATGTGCAAGGAATTTTGTAGTGATAATTGGTCTCATTGCTAGAACATGTTTAGTTGCACAACGTGTAGTACAAACATTACATTGTCTTACAGCATTATTCACAATTGTTTGGGTATAAAACAATATCTTTAACGGATCTATTAATTATATATATTATATTAATATATTATACATATAATTTTATTTTATTTATTTAAAAAAAATTTAATTACTTTTAACCAAGTTTTATCTTGCCTGCCATGTTCTATATCTTGCAAATAACAGTATAAAAATCTTAAATCGGGCAAACTTGAGTACTACGATTATGTTTATCAGATTTAACATGCAGTTCGTCGATAATTCCAACATTAATTAATTTAAAGCTATTAAGAGCCC